CTCTGCCTCCCTCCGCCTCGCCCTCGCCGCCGCCGTTCCTGTAGATACCTCGCCGTCGCCGCCGCCTCCCTCGCCGTCGCCGCCGCCTCCCTCCGCGTCGCCACCGCCGCCGCCGCTGTCCGCGTCGCCGTCACCGCCTCCGCCGTCCGCCCCCCCCTCGCCACCGCCGCCGTCCGTCTCGCCGTTACTGCCGCCGCCCTCCGTCTCACCCCCGCCACCGCCGCCGTCGGCCTCGCCCTCACCGCTGCCGCCGTCGTCCTCGCCGTCTCCGCCGCCGCCGTCGACCTCGCCCTCGCCGCCGCCATCCTCCGCCTCGCCGCCGCCGCCGCCTCCATCCGCCTCGCCGTCGCCTCCCCCTCGCCTTCGCCGCTACTTGCTCGTATTTTAGGTGCGTCCACGCCTCGCCCACCACCTTCCGGCAGGGCCCCGGACGCTTGTTTTCGTCCTCATCCCCTCGCCCCTGCCCCGCCCCCCTTCAGGTGAGGCCATGGCGACTCAACTCGTCCGAAAGAAAGAAAAGAAGAAAAAAAAACGACATCGTCACACAGCAGGGGTGAACATTTGTCTCACGGGTGTCTCAAACACGTCTCTGAAGGTGGACCGTGTGCCACCCTTGAAACAAAGTGAGACTGGTTGCTGTGACCAGGCTGAGACAACACAGAGATCGGTGAGAGTATGTGAGAAATTACTGAGACGCACTTGGGGGACAGCGTTGAGACAGGGAAGAAAAAAGGAAGGGAGGGGTCATGCCTTTTATTAATAGCGCTCAGGATATTTGTCTCATATATTTAGATTAAATGTTAGATTAAGGCAATGCCCTCGACTACCCTCCCTCCGCCACCCGCCAGTGCGGCTGAGCTCTGTGGCACCGCGCGGAGCGCTTTGGCTCCTCCGCGGCCCTCTCGGAGACGTGGCCGACGCAGTGGAAGCGGATCCGGGACCACTTGAGCCGGCACGGCCGCGCCCTTCCTTCGTTACTCAAATCCAAAGGATCGCGTAGGGTAAGGCGGCCGCTCGCAGCCATCCAGTCGAGGAGGGAGGCTGCCACGCGGTCGCTCGGCTGGTCCGCTCGCTTCCCGCCACTCTGCCAGAGCGGTAAGAAGTTTGGCTGCAAGAGCGTGGATGGCATACGTAGATCGACCAGCTGCGCGGTGGCGAAGGCCACCATCCTCCCTCGGCTGTCACTGTTGAGGATGAACTCCGTGGCGAGGAAGATCGTGTCGTACCCAAGCGCGCGGCCCAGCTGAATGAGAGCAACATCCCATTGGTCCTGCAACCAGTAGTCGTTGCGGCAGCCTTGGATGCCAACCTCTCTGCACGTCGCGTCACCCGTACCCAGGCGCCGGAGCCGAGCCGCCAGGCCCTCATCGGCGAGGTACCGCAGCTTGCTCGTCGGGCTGCGGAGGGACTGGTTGAGCCGGCCGACTTGAGGTTCAGCGCGCCGCGCATGCCACTCCCCGACGAGCTGAATCAAGGCGTCGATCTTCGTGTGGGCGTTGAGAGTGCGTTGGCCGCAATCGTACCAGATGCCCGAGCCCGGTGCAAAGCGGTACCAGAATGGCGAGGCTCCCGTGTCGGTGGCGCGGCTCGCTGGCACGTGTACGCCTGAGAGCGGCCTCTTGCTGTTGTAGCCGAGATGCCAGGTCTCAACCCACCGCTGGAGCGGGCCTGACCACGCTGGGCGGAATCCCACAGCGGCCTTGACGCACTCGCGCGCCGATGGGCCGCAAGGCAAGAGGCCTGCAAAGTTGATTTCAGGCGCACGCGCGAGCAGCTTGGCGTAAAAGCCGTCATTGCACGAATGCGTGTGGGGGCTGAGCAGAGTGCGCGCCACGCGGGGCACGATGGCTGCGTCCACGGGCGTGTGATAGAGAAACCAGCTCGACCGTAGCAGCTGCTCGACCGGCGCGCACGACGTGGGCGGCGCAGCAGAGGGGTAGACGAGTCGGAAGTAGGCGAGCGCGCCGCTGCAGTCAGGATCGACGTCGGCAGCGCTCCGCACGTAGCACGCCGCGTGCTCGGACGTCCACACGCCCGGCAAGTCGCACGGCCGGCGGAAGAGCGGCTGTGCCGGCGCAGTCTGCGCCCAACGCAGAAGGGAGCACCTCGGCCGCTGATCGCTGTGGCTGCTCGGATCGTCAAGGTGCTCCACGGCGAAGCACCGTTGGTTTGCAGAGCAGAGCGCTGCGCAGCGCGGGGCGTCCGTGCCTGTGCGCACCTCTACATCGATCCCGTCGCTCGGGGCGGAGATGTTTCCGTGGAATCTGCAGCAGCCCATCGATCGAGAGTAGCCTCTGATTGGAGGCGGGAGCACACTGTCGCTGAAGGACGTCGGCCGCGGCGCGTACCCAAACTCCGCAAAAAACGGAGCCTCGAGACGGTTGATGATGTCAACGCTCTCGCTACCGAGCGCAGTGCTAGGTGGCTCGTCATCAGTAGCCTGCACCATCTCGTCCGCGGCGTTGATCCACGGCAACGACACGCGCGGCAGGCGATACCGCTCGACGAGTGCAGCCCAGTCCGATGTGAGGTTCTCGCCCCGCAGCAGCGCGTCATAGGCGCACGGCCGGCCGCACGCGCGTCGCACTCGAGCGGACTGACTTAGCCCTCCCGTGGCAGCCTCGCCCTGTATCGGGAAAAGCGGGCTTCAGGGCAGCATCGAGAAGCCCAGCCGAGGCAGGTGGGGCTGCGGTTCGCCTCTCTATCTACCCACCGAAGGAACTCGACAAAGGAGCGGAGAGGTCCCGCGCGCCTCTGCGCGATCGTCCTCGCCCCGGTGGTGTAGGCACTGAAGTAGAACGAGACAAAGTCCGCACGCTTCCCGAGCCAGGCGTACCGAAACATGGACGCCCAGTACGCGTAGGGGTCGCGCACCGAGAGGATTGTTGCTGTCGGGATTGCGCCGCACCGGCGGCGACACGCCGCTGCCTTTTCGGACGTGGTGTGGCCCATCGAGGTGAACCAGCCGCGCTCCTCCCACGCCTAGACGGCGTTGCGTGGCTGCGGCTACAGAGAGATAAGATGCGTGGGCGGGGTACTCTCTACCTGCGCTGCGCACTCGACCGACGAGCCGCCCGTCTTTTCGATGTGCAAGAAGACTGGATGAGCCAATGCGCCGGGCCTGCGCCACAAGGGATGGCTCGAGGCTCGGTGTATGTCACAGTCCCATCCTTTAGCTAGAGATTGCGCACGCGAGCTGGCACGGACGGGGGCAGCATGGCCCACGGCGACCACTGTTGCCGCAGCCGTGCTCTGCACAGAACTGGTTAGCCTGGTAGCTCTGCCTGAAAACGGCGGCAGCCCAGCCGCTACCAGCATCGAGCCTCTCAACGGAGTGGTGGGCACGAGCAGGAAATACAGTAGTGACGTGGGGCTCAATCGGGGCTCCCATGGCGCATATATCGTCGAAGTCGCTTCTCGCCAAAGGCTAACTTTTGAAGGACGCGCGCAGCGCGCGCAAAAAGTAATCCGCACGCGCTTGAGCACTTGATAGGGTCGATTCCGCATGGGAGGGGACCCCTCGATCGTCTCGCCCTCCCTCACTGGTCTCTGGTGTGTTCATTGGGGGGGGTCATAGGAGCGTCATTTTGTACCCACCCCCCCTACTTCGTGGGGACCCCCCCGCCGGTCGGTGGTCTGCCCCCGAGGTGGACCGGACCCCCCCCCGGGTCGGTCACTATGAAAACTAGTCACGCAGCCAAGCGCCAAGGAGACTTCTTCGCCGAGGCCCACAAGCCGCAAGCGAGCCCGACTCCACACACATATGTGGAGCATCCACGCAGTCGCAGGCCTGATCCTGCTTGCCGTGATCCTGCTTGCCGCCGCTTTGTGTACAAGCGCTCCAGTTCTCCACAGTACGCGCGCGCATCGTCCCTTCCAATGACTACGATGACTTGCCAGAGAGACTTGATCGCCGCCGTCACCGGGCTCATCGGCTTCCGAGTCGCTTCCTCAAGGTCAAGCGACAGCGAATGGCCTGCGAATGGCAATCGATCCGGGTGCTGGACGCCCCTCCATGAGCAACTCAGTTAGAGATACTGCAACTCAGTTAGAGATACTAATAGAGACACTAATTTATTCACAGCTGCGGCGAGCATGTGCGGTGTGACCCTCGAGCCAACCCGACCGACCCCCCCCTCGGTCTGCGCTCCGACCGACCGGACCCCCCCTCCGGTCTGCGGTCTTCCGCGGCCGCCGACCGGACCCCCCCTGTGGTCGGTCGGTCTGCGCTTGGGCGCTCAAACCGCGAAGTCGGCCTGTTCACTACAAGATGACGCTCATATTAATAACAACACACAGTTTTTGCTATATCCTGTATCCCGAGGCCGAGCGCCCGGGCGGTGCTGTGCAAACAGTCGAAAACAGTAAAAGAAGAATACAACAATGAACAAGAACACATGGCACCGCGGGGGTTTCGTCTGGTTTGAGATGCGTGTGGGTGGCACCGGTGGCCGTGATCTGGCATCTGCCTCACCACTGGGAGCCCTCGCACAAGCCTCGAGGTACGAGGATCACGCCGACTTCGCCTTGCGCGGCCGGAAGATGGCATCGAGAAGAAAGGCGACGCCTAAACGACAGTCTACCAGCTGTGGATGGCAAGCTACCCTGGCGGGGAGGGGATGCCACCGCGCCTTCGATCATCAGCAACAGCACAAAGTTGTCGAGGCCTGCTGGGAGAGGTGGCTCGTTGTCAGCCGCGAAACGCTGGGATGCCAAGGCCGGGCGAGCCCACGCTCTCACCTGCGCCAGTAAACTCGAGGACCACAGCACTGTGGTGGTGCATGAGCGCAGCGATGGCGAGGTCGGCGCAGCCGAAGACCAGGAAGAGATTGCGCCTGCAGCGAATGCGCGCGATTCAGAGCAAGCTGGCACACAGACGCCACTTGTTTGAAGCGGCCGCACCGGAGGAACGTCCCTTCAAAGTGTGAAAAGGTCGCGGCAAGCTTGGCCGCCGCGCTGAGGAGGACGAAGGCGCCCAGCATCGCCGCGAGGAACGCCTGCGGCGGCGGCACCGGCGCAGCAATGCGCTGCTTTCGCTTCATGGCGGACGACCAGAGCAGCATCAGCTTGTCATCTCCCGGCAGTGGAAGCGGAGTGCCCGGGATGAGGACATCGCGCACGCCAGCGGCCATGAGCACGCTCTCGGTCGCGAAGACCGAGAGCTTGACCACGAGCGGCACGTTGGACATCTCGCGAGTAGGTTGGGCCCGTAGGTAGGCTCGTTCGTGCCCAGCGGCAGGCAAAAAGAAAAATGAGCGCGAGAACACAACGCACTCTCTCACATAAACGCACAACCCCGGGCCCGAAATCGCACAGAGTCACGCAACACGGGATCCCAGGGAAGGCGAGCAAAAACCTTATCGCGCGCGCTAGACGCCGACTCGGAGGCCGCACCGGTCAGGCGCGCAGCCGGAGAGAGAGGGAGGCGCTCAATCGCCGCACGCGGCGAGCGCCTCCATCATCTCCACCTCATACGCACCCTCCACCCCCGCGCGCGCGCACATGACAAGCGATCCCACGACAGCGATTGTGGGGACTACATGATCCGTATACGTGAAGGGTGGAGGGGCCCGTCCGCGGAGCTAGGCGGTACGGGCGCCCTCCACTGGGGCCGAGGGTAAGAGGACGTCTGCCGCTTGCTTGTTCTTGACGTCGTTCGTTGACCCAGTTGGCACGCTCAGGGGAGTTGAGCCAGTTGAAACTCGAACACCGGGAGAGCAGAGGAATATACTCACTGTCCTCCTCCCCCATCCCTCAAGAAAGAAAGAAAGAAAACAGACACGCCAAACGAGGGATGGGACGAGGACAGGGTCCACACCTGCACGAGCAGGATTTTGGAAGAACGATCAGGGGGACAGGTGGGGCTCTCCTGCTCCTGACAAGGGACACGATAGACTCGCAGCGCGGTGCGCGGTGGACTCCCACATCCACTGGCGGTCTCATCTCAGTCTAGCGACCTGCCTCCAGCTTGTCGCTGGCAGTCTCTCGTACCACAGGCACACTGACACAGGGGTCCCCCATCCCTCGTTTGGGATTGTCTATTTTCTTTCTTTCTTTCTTACTCACTCACACAAAAAGAGCAACCCCGTGAACCCACGACGCACAAGTACAGACAGTCGAGAATATACTCACTCACCCACACAGGAGAGGGCATCCATCACATCATCATCACAAAAGAACAGAGAACGCAAGGGAGGACGGCACGCCGCCACAAACCTGAATTTTGACCGCGCAAGATATAAAGGGTGTCCTAAGGGCTCTGCTCGCAAGGCGCCCGCGTCGCAGACGCGGTACCATTGACAAATCTGCAATATACCCCCACACGAGCAAATAGCAAAATCCGAATACCGTGCACGAACTGGGCGATGTGGGAGGCAAGCCTTCAGCTGGTGCCAAGACATTCGTAAAATTGAAGCCAAGAACGGCCGCCAAATCCGTGCTTTCGGAGCAACTGAGGGAAAGCCGCTGATCGAGCCCAGCGTGCCCGCGGCCGCCTCCCGCGCAGCACCGCCGCTGGGGACGACACGCTGCGGATTCGGATCGAGCCCATGGAGGAGGAGGGCGCGGTCGGCCAGCGCAGCAGGCGGAGTCCCTCCCCGCGCCGGAGCCCCCTGCAGTCGAGGGAGTCCTCGTTGGCGATGAAGGTGGCGACATCGAATCGCGGCCGACACACGTCACGTGGGAGGAATGGGCGATGAGCGGGAACGATGCGCGCTACGACGCCGACTCCGCCGTGCTCGTGGCCGCCAAGCAGAAAGCCGCGCTCCAGGAGCACGCCAAGATGCAATGGCTCGCTTGCTTCGATTCAGCTCTCTTGGCAGCAGAAGTGGGGCTGGAGCGGGTGGGGGTGGATGCCGATTGAGGGAGAGCGTCTCCAGCTGCGCCCTGTGGCAGCTGCGCCCTGTGGCAGCTAGTCGAGGGACTTGGTAGTTGTTGTGACCCCCCTGAGTGAGGACAGGAGAGAGAGAGAGCGTTTTGTGGTGTTGGTGTACGCAATAACGGGACAGGGTGGTTGTTCTCTCTATCTCCTCTTCTAGCTCTTAGCATGAGCTGCGCCCTGTGTCCGACCCCTTTTGCGCAGCAACACCTTAAACTTTCAGGCCCTCCAAATTCGGGTCGGAGCGTAGCGGAGAGAGAGAGAAGCGGAGTGGGCCCCGAGTTTGAAAAGGGCGACGGACGCTTGCGTCCTAGCCTCCAACAACGCCTCCCCGGCGCAGAGGGGCCCCCGGAGGGATGCACAACCGCTCCACGCCACGCCGCTTGCGGCGGTCCTCTTAAAGAAAGAAAGAAAGAAAACAGACAACCCAAGGGAGGGATGGGAGGACGGCACCCCAGCTCCGCTAAGGCACGTGCGTTATTTTTCCTCACGGTTCAGGTTCGGACGTACGATGCAGCAAGTGTCTCTCATGAAGAGCTCCTCGCACAGCGATCCGCCGAGCCTGCCTCCGAGTGCTCGTGAGGAGAAGCTAATCCACCTGCTCGAGCAGGCGCTCGAGCGTGACGCGGCTAGAGGCGCACAGCTGCGCGAGCTGCACCGTCACATGGCCGACTTGCAGAACGCATTGAAGCAACCTCGTTTGCCGTCGCCGCAGAAAGCGAGGGCAATGCCAGCTGCCGTGGGCTCGGCCGCGCAAAATCTGCTCGGGTCCCCGCCTCAGCTTTCTGGGCCCGTCATTTTCCCGCTCTCGCGGACGATTCGGTGCTGCGTTGCATGCTGCGACTGCGCGTGGGTAGAGCTGATCATTCTGCTGTTGGTTGCCTGCATCAACATCGGCATCATCGGGACCTTCTCGGGCGGCGCTCTTCTCCACCCGCGCATCGTGACCGATCCCGCCTTTTACCAGGAGAGGCTGCGGACCCAGGACCTTGGCGGAGCAGTGCTGAGCCGGAAGCAGTGGTTGCAGAGGATGGCTGCGGACTCCTATTGGCGCGATGGGAGAGTCCTCTACAGCGAAGCGAACACAAGCAGCTCCAACTCCACCGACTCAGGGTCTGACCCGTGTTCGGACGCAGTGGAGGACGCAGTCAGGCCAGTCGACATCGCAGGCGCCGCTGTCGCCTCGGTCTTTGTGCTTGCCATTTTCGTCTGGCGGCTCTCGATGCTCCTCTTCAACACGTGCGCCGTAGCGTGCATCACGGGTCGCTGGTCGACCTCGCTCTGGGCGGCCATCGGCGTGTGGTGCCAAGGGGTGCTTCTGTTTTCCAACCTGACGTTGCTATGCTGGGCCATAAACCCGTATCATGCCACAACGCCCTCGCTCGCTTAGTTCGAGTCGTTCCCACTCGACTGCGAATCTGCGACGGGGCCGATTTATCGTTTCCTCATTGTGGGGTGGTTTCAGGCTGTTTTTGACATGACGATGCTCAGTATCGGCATCGGCTTCGTCGAGCGAATTCCACTCACGTGGGAGGCGAGCGTCGTCTCCTGGCTTGACGCGGTGCTGTTGGCCTTCCTCGGCTTCCAGCTGATTCTCGGCATGTCCGTGCTCTCCCTCTACGGCGAGGCAGCAGACCAGGTCGTCGGCGTTTTGGAGGACACCGCGGGACCTGCCATCGCGAATGCCTTTGGCGCCTACAACGATGGCGCGCCTCTCCACCCTCACCTCCTCTCCTCACCTCCTCTCCTCGCTCCTCTCATCGCTCCTCTCATCGCTCCTCTCATCGCGATTGATAGGTGTCGCCATCAATGACTCACTCCGCGGCAGGGGAGGTGGGAGCAACGATGAGGGCGCGGCGGGAAGTCAACTTGCTCCTACAGCAACGCGCGGTCGGGCGCGTGCTGCCACGCATGTGCAATCCAGGGCCCACAAAGCCAGAGGCATGCCCACGTCTTCTTCCATCGACTACGGATGGAAGCCACTTGTGGCGCGGGGGCGGCCGTCATCGATGGAAGCGTGATGTTTAGATTATATTTTAGAGCACAGAAAAAGACCCCGGGTCATGGGCGATACCCGGGTGTCGAGAGACACACCCTCACGTGTTCACGAGACGCCCCCGCGCGCCTCTAGAGCGCCCCGCCCCACACCGCACAGGCACGGACACACCCCGCGCGCGGAACTCCCACGAAGACTTGAAACGCACGCTACGCACGACTACCGACCGTCGCGCACGCTCTCTCGTAACAACTTAAGGCTGTTACTAGCGTGTATAGGCTAAGGCGTAAGGGCGGGTAAGTCCTCCCGCACAAATGCTCCATCCTCCACAAAAAAAGAGTCGAGTCACGTGTGGGGGGTGGGACCCCCCTAAAATACGGGGTTTCCTGCTCCTGCGTCCTGGCGGAGCCGGAGGTTACCTCATACCTGTGGCTGTACGATAAGTTCCTTTCATCATGATTAGAGTATATGCGATTCAGACTGAGACGCCTCTTCACGAGCCCCCCCACCTGGGGGCCCCGACGCCCGAGGGGGACACGACTCTCTGGGCCTCTCCTCTCTCACAGCTTCCGTCGCCCGACAGCCAGAAATCACTTTGCGTGGACGGAGAGATAATGTGCACCGCGACACCGCGGCACCGTGTGTGAGACCGGCGGCCGCCTCGCCGCTCGCCTCAGGTCCGGAATATACGGCGATCAAGCAGATCGTGGCAAGGGTGCATGGCCTCGAGCAGCGGCGCCTAATGGCTCGAGCACGATGGGTCCGTACCTAAGTTTCACGATGGGTGGCGGCACCTCGCTTCGCCACCGAGCTCGCCGCATTCGCGACCCCGCGCTGCGCCGCGACAGCTGCCGCCGCCGCCGCCTCCTCGGCCACGTCGGCCTGCATCTCGACCGCCGCGAGAGGCCCGACGAGGTTGAGCCGCACCTGTGCATGGCTTGGAGCTAGGCATCAGGAAACCGAGCCGGGGAGGGGGAAGGGCGGAAGGCGGGGCAAGCTGGCTCAGAACGAGGAGAGAGGGTCTCGCGCACCGCCGCCGAGAGCACGTCGCGCGCCGTCGTATAGGCGATAACCTCGGCCGCAACCTGCAAGCGACCCTCGCCGGTCAACGCCCTCCGGCCCGGAGAGACTCGACCCGTCTCTCTCGCCGCGACCTGCGGCGGGAGGCCGAGCAGCGCGCAGAGAGCTCCCAGCATGGTGGCGCCGTGCGGCGCGCGGTTGGGGTTGGCGCCACGGTCACCGAACGCGGCGCCTAGGAGACGCCACCGGAGCGAGTGAGGCGGCGGGCGGCACGGCGGGCGGCACGCGCGGACGGGGGCGTCGTTGCAGA